ACCCGCGTTTGCCAGAGCAACTCAACAGTCAGGCGTGGTGCACCACATCAGCGTTTTGACAAATAACTTGTGGCTTGTTTGGCCTTGTGAGCTTGCCGACAAGCTCACAAGGTCAAAGCGCCGAAAAATACACCTGAGAAAATGGAGGGTTTGACCAAAAAAACCATTCAGAAGGTTGGAGGACACTCTCTGTGAATTATAGAGCCACGGCATCCTCAGACATGTTGATGCACTGCAAAAAGAGAATAAAATGTTGTCACTGTGCGGAGTCGAACGAGTGACCTTGTGGTTTTCCGGACTTGGTTTGTGAGCTTGTGAGCTTGTGGCGATTTTGGTGAGACTTGTGACCTTGTTTGGCCTTGTACAAGGTCACAAGTTTTTTGTCAAAAGTCTGATGCACCGCGATCCATGACGACCAGATGGCTGGTCCGTTTTAATTGTCGCCGCGTAGGTATATTTTTTGTTTTGATTCGAACATCAAGGGACCTTGCAAGAAATACATAGGAGAGTTTATTTAATTTTTGCAGCACAGTATTCGGACGAGCACATGCTTTTTCTGATACAAACGGAGCATCTCGGTTTCTCGAAGCTGTAACTCCGTCATTATTATGTATCCCTATGCCGTGGCTCCACGTAGAAGGTGGATGAACGTAGGGATCGAGTCACCTAGATTGAATAATAGACACAGGCTAATTTTTGGGAGCGGGACATGAAACGAGAATGTATTCAACGATGTAAAGGGGTGCTCACTTGCGCCATCTACCAAGATGTCAAGTTTGACTGCGTCCAAGTGCGCTCCTTGCGAGCGGCAGCGAACTCGGGGATCTGTTCCTCAACCTGCGTTCAAGTCGGTGCAGCGCAATCGCCGGGCCATTTTCTTCGATTTCTTCCGGGTCGTCATTATCGTCATTCTCGCATGCAGTGATGATTTCCTGCACATCTGGGAAGATACTTGACAGGTATGGAGCCGCCGGTGCTGCGGCGTATATCGGGGAGCTTCCAACTTCAACAGTGCGAGTTTTGTCTGAACTACACGCGAAGCGCTTTCACGTGAGGGGATACCGATAGACCATATGCTGCAAAGAATTGGTGAGCCAGAAATATCGTCCTTGGACCATCGTTCCATACTTCGGCCACCCCGCTCATAGCTCCTATTCCAACTCGATCCTTGTGCAACAGCTGAGAATCAGTCTTTTATTGTTCGAGGCAGACAACGAGCACACAGTCCGCTACTTTTTACCAAACAGCCGTTGGAACGTGTCCTTCGGCTTCTCAGGCGCAAACGAGAACCGCCCATTGTCGAACGGCCCCGGAACGTGGGCCACGCCGGTAGCGAACACTGTCTTTCCCGACCACAAAATCTCCGCCTCGGCGTCTCCCGCGAGCCGCGCTGCCTCCTCCTTCTCCGCCGCCTCCCGCGGGTCGAGATACATCGTCTCGTACTTGACGCCTTGCACCTCCCCAAGCAACCCCATGGCCGCGCCCCAGGTGAGCGTCTCCGCGGCCACTCGCAGCTCACGGCACGACTGGCCCTTCTCCAGCGGGAGCAGCACAGATTCAACGACGTATCGGACAATGCTGCGCCCCCCAAAATCAGATCATCTCCCATAAAACAAAGTATGGGGAAAAACACACTCGGGCAACGCAGTGACCGTGATCAGCGACTCGGGGCTGCCATACGGGCTCGCCGTGTGCTTCTCCGGATCGACGTTGTTCATCGAAATTGGCAGGAACTCGGTGAATGCGCCCGTCATGAGCAGCGTGTACGCGAAACCGGGCACCTCCCGCGCGCGCTGCCGCACGTGCTCCCGGGTGGCGGTTTTGTCGCGGAAATAGCGCTTCTTCCCAATGTCGCCCACAGCGAGGTCGGTGCCGAGTTCGGACGGGTAAAAGTGGCGCACACCACCTGCGATGGAGGCGTCGATCATGCCGGGTTGGAGCTTCATCGCGAGGTTGCCTGCAAGGGAGATGACGGTGTCAAACCCTGCCCTGCGCATTAGTATAGCGCGCTGGTCATAAAACTTGACATACCTTTGTAGGAGCTCGCCTCGAGGTAGGAGCCGACTATCACCTCCACGCCTTGAACCTTCACTTCCGCAAACCGCGAGACTTTGGCGGGGTCAGCGAGAACTCCAATGCGTGCGAACTTGGTTTTGTTCTTGAGGAATTCCTGGACAAGGGGACGGCCGACGAGCCCACTCGCGCCGATGATGAGGACTGCGGGTGCCATGGGTGAAAAGTTATCGATAGTTTTTCCCCCACTGTCGGTATCCAGCTAAATAGCAGCGCGATATCTATCGGCATTAATAAACCACGGTTGAAAATCGGTCAGCACATCGGGCACATTTGTCAGAATTTACAAACCACCCCGAATTTGATGGTACTGATATTTTGCGTTGCCGTCGAGTCTGGGGAGACCATATAATTGATTCAAATCGTCTGCATATCTATCGCACAAATCCTATTAAGTGTACGATGCAAATAAGCATTGGAAGCACAAAGCGAATCGCGGCGACTCACTTCTATTAATCTCGCCTACATTCTCTAATTCTGGATGAGCCCGAGCGACCGGTCATTTCTTCGGGGAGCATTGGTCAGCACCGAGGGGATCAAATGCAGCTTCATAACAAACCTTCAGGCTGCGGCAGACCCTACAAATCGCAAAGATCACGCATCAACCCCAACTAAACTCAGCTGAAGAACAAGAAACAGAAACGCACCATGATATCCAACACCGTCGGCCCCAGGGCTCCTTATCCACGCCATCCACATCCGCCTTTAATGTGTACTTGGGCTTGCTCTTATCTTTGTCCACGCCAGCGAGGATGAACGACACGGGGTTGCACGTGTGTGCGGTGTGCGGCGCCCGTCTCTGCGTTGCGCATCTGCTCCGCATTCCCGTGGGCCGCGGTGAAGAGCAGCACGTACCCCGCGCGCTGACAGGCGGCTTACATCGTGCCCACCGCTGCGTCCGTCGCGCCGATCGCGGCGCCGGTGTGCCCAACCTATTTCAGTTGTGTGAGTGAGAATGAGAGCGGGGTGGTTTGCGGAAGGGAGGGATATTGGGAGGGAAAGGAAAGACGCACCATGTCCGGGGGCGCAAAGTTGCACAAGACAAAGTCGTGTTCCTTGCTCTCGACGACGCGCCCGACGGTGTCACCGTGTCGGCGACGGCCTGCACGCTCATCTCGGGTTGCGGGTAGGACGTCGCGACCGTGTGCGACGGAACCATGTGCCGTTCCTCGTGCGCGAACTGCTTCTCAACGCCGCCGTTGGAGAAGAACGTTTAGTACGAGCGCGTATTTTTCGGATTCTGCCCGCGACGTCAGATCAAACTTGCCTGAAAACAAAAATAGAAGGGGAGAGAGGGAGGAGGTATCGGCGATGTGACCCAAATTGGAGCAGATGGAACAATTTCGAGGATTCGGAGAGCGATGCATTGTTGATGAAGGATAAGAACGCCGTAACGCTGCGTGACATGGTTGTATTTGGTTTGAATGGTGTTGGCGATCAGATCGGTGATCTCGGGATTACCTTTTACGGACGTCAGCATCCAAGTCGTTGAGCAGAGGGTACAAGGCTTAGAGTGAGTAGGCTCGAGACGGTTAGCGGTCGAGCGACGAAAGGTGAACAGAAGTGGAGGTATATCAGAGACCTCCGACTTATCGACCATGCTTGCCCAAGGGTGGGGCATCCAGAGCCCACAACTTCAGATATCACTCAAATGGAAAAGCTTTGATGGACTGAGGGAGGGGTTCCACTCCATGAGATAAAGAAATAGTTCTTTTGATTTTTGTATGTTCTCTGCTCGTGCGATGCCAAAAACCCTAGCAATGTTGAGCACAAAAGGAAAAGGAGAAAGCCGGAAAATGGAAGGACGCATATGCACCGGAATTCACTCTCCGGGCAGGGAAATCAACCTAAATAAAGTCTCGTTTGACTGAAGCCTTCGTCCTACATGGGTACAAGCATTGGTGGTCCACAGCCCTTGACCTGGCAATTCCAATTTAAGTGTGATGGATTGAGACCGGGGTTCGATTCCCTGCCAATGCATATTTCGGCACGACTGATTTTTTTGAGCTTTCAGAATAAAAGAGGTACCCTAATTTTTCTATCGAGCATTCTTAAGGAACTTCGCTTGAATTTCTGAAACCTCGTTTACAGACAAACACGAGCATCGGCGGGTTATTGGTGATCCCCAACCTCGCATTGCAGTTGTACTTACATGTATGCTTGATGGGCCGAGCGCGTGGGCCGAGCGCGGGGTTCGACTCCCCGCCGATGCATATGCCGCCACCGTCTTTTTTGGTTTTGCATATCCTCTTTTCATGACGACAAAAATGAAGAAATCTAACTGAACTGAACCCAAGGCGAAGACGGACAAAGTTGACTGCAATCGGCGAGTCGTCTGTGAGCAGACAAATCAGCTCGAATCAATTACACCTTGGCTGAAACCTTGTTGGTAAATTGCAAGCATCGGTGGGGTAGGATAAAACCTGCAACCTTCTCTTACTTGGGGATTGGTAGAGACCGGGGTTCGACTCCCCGTTGATGCATGGGCTAGCATCGTATGTCCATTTTTATTGTTATTTCATCGTGCGATGGTACCTCGAACAACACAAGGTGGAGAAAGGGAGAAGAAACAAATGGGATGAGAGGACGTACATGATCAAATCTTCGGGGAAAACCGGCCGGAAAAAGCGTCCCTTGATTGAAACTTCGTTAGTAGATGGACATAAGCACTGGTGGGGCATGGGCAGCCTGCGGCCACTTCATACTTCAGTTTTAATGCGTGAGGCCGAGCGGGGTTCGACTCCCTGTCGATGCATATTCGAGGGCGCATTTTTTTTCTCCCTTCACCCTCTGATGCGCAAGACCACAGCTTTTGGTTTCGGCAAAGAGAAAAAAGCGGGCGGATGACGCACATGACTTCAATCGGCGAGCACGTACCTAAGGGAACTAACTCACTCGAGGGCATCATCGTTCCCAGATATATACAAGCATCGGTGGGGCATAGGCGGCCCGCGGCCTCTTCATAGTGCTGCCCTCACCACTTGATTGATGGCCGAGATCGGGGTTCGACTCCCCGTCGATGCATACGTATTGCGCGGGCTAATCTTTTTTTTTCTCGCCTCGTTTCGCGTTCCTCTATGTGCGTTCCCTGGGACGGACATTTGACTCGGTTGGACTGGAAATTTGGTGGGCTCAGAACTAGAAGGATCATAGAAGCACCACAGGACCTGAGTGCATCACTGAATTGGCTTGACCACCAAGGTAGTAATAGTCACCCAGCCTCCGGGGAGTCCAAATTAAAGGAATGCAGAGAACAGAACGCAAGGGATCCATGATCGAGTTCACCGTTGCTCCAGACGACAAAACCGTCTTTCTGCGGAGAGAAGCTGCCCTCCGGCACGGAAATTCTGGAGGTCAACGCGTGACAAGGAAATATCGAGAAGCATTAGATTCTTCCTATGGATGCTACTACATGACGGCTACAAAGTTGGCAAATTCTGGGACAACATACCAAGCTGCCTACAGAGAGGACAGTGCACGAAGTGCGGAGTGCACGAGTCAATGGAGCACATATTGACCCGGTGTGACGAACCTGGTCAAAAGGAAATCTGGGACTTAGCGTCTGAGATGTGGCAGATGAAAACAGGCAAGGACCTGAGACCCACAATCGGCCAGATCATGGCCGGGGGTGTACTAAAATGTGGGAACCCCGGGGAGACACGTCTACATAAAATATTAATCACTGAATCTGCCCACCTCATATGGCGCATAAGGAATGAACGAGTAATCCAACAGAAAGGCTCCGCCTCAGTAGCGATGGTAAGGAACAGATGGCTGAAAGGTATCAACAATAGACTGGCCATAGACTGTTTAATGACAGATACATTTAAATATGAGAAGAAGGCTCTGAGAATGTCCTTAGTCAAAAGTACTTGGAAAAAAACTCTTAAGGACGAACGTACCTTGGCCAAAGATTGGCCCAGAACAGTCGGGGTTTTAGTGGGTATCGGTTGACCGAAGGCAGTGAAGGCGGAACGGTAGTTGACTTTCAACCACCGGGAAGCCCGAGCCCGAGGAAGAGACCTAAGTCCCACATATCGTGCTGTAGGCACGAATGCGATAGACGCATTTCCTCGAGAGATTACATTTTTTCGTCTGGCCTGGTTCCAAGTCCGAGGCCTCACCCTAGCGGGCGGAATCGACCGACTATGTCGGCCCGGAAACTCCGTGAGGTCGCCCGAGGGCCTACCGAGAGGGACGGGGTAGTAAGTGGCAACAAGCCAGCTTATACTCGAGCGCATGCGCACCGCCACCCAACGCTCCTCAAAAAAAAAAAAAAAAAAAAAAAAAAAAAAAGCTGTATGGACGACGGTTGCTGTGGTCCGAGCGTGTGATGATGCACTGCCTCGACTTATCTCTCTCCCACGTTTATGATGCACACCTTTGCAATTTAACCCTCTTGAGTGTTCCATTTAATTCCTAAGTACAGCTCGGTCCTACAATTTTCTGCAATCCGAAGGTGCATGCAAGCAACTTACAAATGCGTAGTCTGGAGCAACGGTGAACTCGATCATGGATCCCTTGCGTTCTGTTCTCTGCATTCCTTTAATTTGGACTCCCCGGAGGCTGGGTGACTATTACTACCTTGGTGGTCAAGCCAATTCAGTGATGCACTCAGGTCCTGTGGTGCTTCTATGATCCTTCTAGTTCTGAGCCCACCAAATTAAAGGAATGCAGAGAACAGAACGCAAGGGATCCATGATCGAGTTTCACTCACATCACCCGAACTGTCTTGTTCGTTGGTCGAAGATTCACTTCGTCGGCAGAAAGCGTCATTACTGGCACTTAGACCTCGCCTACATCGAGGAATTACACGCAAGAACTCTTCGTTGTACTCCATGGCCAGTGAATTTTTGGCTCGACTGAAGGCCTTGGCCATCGTGGCTCGAGCGAAAGCACGTTGGTGCTTTGATGTCTCCGTTTTTGGTGGTCGCTGAAATTTGATTTCAAGGGAGCGAAGAGTTAGATGCAAAACTCCGGCAAGAACGAAGCCTCCGGAGGTTGGTCAAGTTTGTGGTAGTCCTTGGAGCGAAAGATTCTGGCAAGGTAGGGTCTGATTTGTCTGCAGCTTACGGCCATCGTTCAGTGTCGGGAATTACTTTCAGGCGACGTTCATCGAGCAAGCCAGAGTATCTAACTCGCGACTTGTTGACGTCAGACGAGACGAGGATGAACCCGCCACTGCTCAGTTGAAGTCTTTTCTTTCCTTCTATTCACGGAGCGCCAGTTGAATAGAATTATCCAGAATACCGCTGAATAACGAAGAACCGATGTGCGACAATTCATCCTCCAAGGGTATCGCCTCCGAGATAGACGTCGCACGGTGCAAACTCCCATCTCCAGCGGTCACAGAAACCCCATTTGAGGTGCAAGTAACATATCCGACGTCTAGCGTTGTTCATCAGCTGAAGACAACACTCACCTGCGTCCACCGCGAAATTGGTCTGCGACGAAAGTAGTTCAGTTGCTTTAACGAGGTTGAAGCTCTCGTTTTCCTTGTCGATTTGAGCAGCTACGATCAGACGACTCTCTCAGAGGAGACGGGTGAATCCGTGGTGCGTTTCTGCTCGCCAATATATCTTAGCTATTCTATTGAATTGTATGATCGATGGGCAGAACCGCGTGCGAGAAGCCATGGCACAGTATGAGAATGCCTACACTCGGCTTCATTCTGCTAACCCAACAATAGTGAAATCTTGCATTGTTTTTGCGAAGCGGAGACTCATATCGTACCACTAATAGGTCCTTATCCTGAACAAAATGGATTTGTTCACATCGAAGCTAGCCGTTTCGCCGCTTTCAACCTGCTTCCCCGAATACCGTGGTGCAAACGCTCCCGGCGCTGCCACCGAATATTGCATCAAGCGCTTTCTGTCGCTTTTGCCAGAGCAACTCAGTAGTCGGGCATGGTGCACCACCGCTATCGATGCTGACCAGATGACGGGTGCGTTTTAGTTCCTGCCGTAGAGGTAGATTTTTGACTGAATTCGAACGTCAAGGGACCTTGCAAGAAATAGGAGAGTTCATTTTGCACCACAGTATTCGGACAAGCAATTGCCTTTTCTGACAAGGCAAACTGAGCTTCTCGGCTTCTCGAACCTGTAACTCCCTCATGATTATGGATCCTTGTCGGTTCAGCGCGCTGTGGCTGCACTACAAGGTGGATGATCGCAAGGCACTCGTTAATTACATTGTATAATGGAGACTAGGTCAATGGAGCTAATTTGGGGCTGGTATGTAGCTGGGCATAAAACGAGACCGATGTAAATGGATGCTTACTTGCAGTATCTACCGAGGAAGCCAATTCGCCCGCGCCCAAGTGCGCTCCTCCTCGCGGGCGGCAACGAACTCGGGGATTTGCTCCTCAACCTGCTTCCAAAGTCGGTGCAACGCAATCGCCGACCCATTTCCTTCGATCTCATCTGGGTCGTCATTATCCTTATTCTCGCGTGCAGTGATGATTTCCTCCAGGTCTGGGAAGATACTCGACAAATATCGAGCCACCGGTGTTGCGGCAGATATTAGGGAGCTTCCAACTTCAAGCATGGCGAGTTTTGTCTGAACTACACGCGAAGCGCCCTTACCCAAGGGGATGGACCTGGCATCAAATTCAATGCTCAACCAGCTCAGCTCGGGACAATGGCGAGCAAAAGCATGGAGGGATTGCAAAGTGGTTTGCGGCTGTCCACCCACCGAGCCTGTTTCCAGCCACAGGTTCTGAAGGTGCGGCCATGCAGCGGCGAGTTTGGTGACGGTGGCATCGTCAAGGTCATACCCGACGGGGGCCATGATGGATACGGTTCTGATGTTGGGGAAACAAACGAGGTTTTCGATTGAGCGCCCGGTTATTATGTAGCTCTCGCGCGCGACGGGGGGCAAAGTACTTGCAGAATTGTGGAGGAAGAATGTCTTGAGGGAGTTGTGTGCGCAAGCGGTCCGCACTGCATGAAACAGGGCGTCCGTCGCTGCGAGGGGCACGAAGGTAGCCAAAGTGACCTCCAGCGTAACCAACGGCGCATGGGCGAGGGAACAAAGGAAGTTGGTCGCCGATTCAATATTAATTGGCCCCATGACGAGTCGGGTCAATCCAGGCAGCTGGGCTAGATGTTGCGCTACGGCCATATTGGGGCGGCCAATGGTTAAAGACTCGAGGTTCTTTAATGTGCAGACAAAAAGGGACATCGCAGTATCGACATGATCCGAGGGGGTTTCGAAAGCTATAGAGACATGGGTAAGTCCGGGACACGAAGTCGCAAGTGTCGAGAGGAGGGAAATATTGGTGGTGGACGCTTCGCAAAGAATTGTGATTTGTTTCAGTGTGGAGGGGAAGAAGGCACGGGTTAGAGAGAGTCCCTTATCCGGGTGATGCCAGTTGAATGTTTGGAGATTTGGAAACAGAAAGCCACCTGGGCAGCACAAGCTGAGGGCGGGCAAAATTTCCACAATTTCAACCCAGTCGTCCAGCGACAGTATCCTGACTCGAGGAGAGTAAACGAGGGGTCGATTCCAATCGTTCACCATGATCGGCCGCAACATGTGCTACGGAAAAATGAGCGTAACAGGGAAGAAATGTAAGATCACTGACCCAAATGCGCTTTCCCCGTGGACCTCTGAACGGAGCAAACAAGCCGTCTGGCATCAGCCGCAAAAATGGACCAAATTTAGTCTGGGTCCTCCAAAGGACATCGAGCGCAGGGCCGTTGAATAGGCTGCAGGTTCTCGCAAGGGCGCACAAGGTGCGCCGATCTTCCAATTTTCGAGAACTAAGCGAGACCAGTGCGGCCATGGGATCCAAATTGGAGCAGATGACCTCAACAATTTCAAGGATCCGGAGAGAGCGATGCATTGGTGATGAAGGCAAGAAAAGAATGGGACGTCACACTGAGTCACAGTGGCATTGTCACGTAGAAGCCACAAAACAATTCAGGGAGTACCTTGCAACAAAAGGATAGTGGCATACACAGCGGCACGGGGAAGAAACTAAGAGACCAACTTCCAAGTACACGCGATAGAGGCGGAAAAAA